TGTAAATTAAATATTTTCAGTGATGATATAATAGGTTCATTGTGAACTGATTATTGATTAGTTCAGCTACCTAATGATTCTCAGATCACACTTGCAATTTACTAAAGACTTGTAAAGGCAGACAAACATTTTTGTATCTAAAATCATTTGTTAATCGACCATCTTGTTCTAAACATGATTACTATCACAGTGACTAGTTGTCAGTAGGTTAATACTAAACTGTCTCACTAGGAAGTTTTTAACTGAATAGGATTTTGAGGTTTTGCCTTTTAACACTTGTTCTTCAATATCTAGATCTATCTCATGGGCTAATAAATCATTTGATTAGGGTTTTGTGGTTAGAAAGAATGGGATATCCTCTTGCAGTGTTTGTAAATTCTCTGTGATGCTGTAAGTAATTTTATATGTATTACAATGTTTGTGAATTCTTTATGATGCTGTTAAATAGTTGTATTGAACAGTTAAATTATATATCACATTCACGTATAACTTGTGTATAATTATCTCTGCTACAGTTACATGTCTAACACTTTAAATATGTCTTTTGTACGAAGTATGACATTATGGCTATCGTACAGTAATTTTTCAACTTTCTGTGAAAGCCTGCCTGCATTCTCATAGTAAACAGAATTGATCAGTGATACATTTAAAATGATTAGCTAGGTTATGAGGGACTGTTAAGTATGTCATATTAAAATCCAATCATGACCATTTATCTTGATAATTATCTTGCAATGTAGTTTTCTTTACAAAAGTCTCCATCATAAGACTCAATTCCAAAGCTCACCAGTTCTCTCTGAATGCTTTTTGTAATCTATCTAGTGTACAATGACCATGGTTTAACAGAATCCATTTCAACAGTATGATCACATTGAAATCTATAGATGATATATCTGGTAACTTGGCTGGTATGTCTTTGTAAGGACTAGCATGAATATCCATTTCATTCTCCGGGTGTTTGAAGTATGTGATGGTAGAACGGGAAGTACGATGGAAGATTTTTCTGGGTGAACCCATACCCTGTTGTTGGTCTTATTTCCGGGTGAAGAACCTACTTTGTTATGTTGTTTGGGACATGTGGACAGCTATTGCCAATGGACTTTTTGTTTGTTTGTGGATTATCTCCTGTTGCAAGATGCCATGCTTTATTTTCCATAGCTAGGGTATGCCTTGATCCACATTCCTTCTTGTTTTCCAATACCATTAAGTACAAGGAATATTCTTGTCTTGGAAATTCAGAATCCTGATAAAAATACATCTTTATGATAACATATAACATAACATTGTGTGACAACATGGAACCTATTGGTCCATCTCAGCTGTTCCATCCTCTAAACTAAATTAAAATGATTTAATAAATAATAATAATAAAAATAAATGTTAAAGCCAGCTCTTCGTTTATATACCTATCAAGCTTTTTCTTAAACTCTGAAGGCAATCCATTTCAAAGGCCAACCACCCTGTTAGAAAAATGAAACTGTCTTAACTGCATTTATTGTAATTAAAACCCATCTGCCATTTATTTGCCCAACTCAACAAATGATGTAAATCAGCAGCATCCTCTTCACAGCTAGCAACACCCAAGACCTTAATGTCATCTGCAAATTTAGGTAATTTATTGACTATCCCTTCATCTATGTCATCGATGTAAATTAAAAAGAGCATAGGTCCTGAGATGATCCCTCTGTTTTCTTCCATCCAGCCACTCTTCTATCCAGTTTGCTAACTTATCTCCCACACCTATAGAGCTAATGTTTTTTCAAGTCTTTT